TATAACTAATGCTAATAAAGCGATGAATAAAAGATCCATACCAATCTAACAAATAATTGACCCTATGCCCGTATAACTCCTCTTACAGTTTATTATGAAAAATGTAGAGGGTCTTCAGTTCCCCACCAACCCATTGTAATTCCTAATCTCAGTACAAATTGTACAAAAACAAGTTTCATAAACTTTTTCTCAATGGGTCTTAAAAATTTCCTAATTTTGAGCTTATAGAGTGAAAAATAATTATAAATTTTTTAGATAACTTTAGGTTAACAAAATTACTTTTGACACATATTTCGAAAAAAGTAAAAATATGTCCATTGTAATGCACTAAAAAAAGGATATTTTTTTGGATCCAAAGTACCCCAAAAAATATTACAATCAATTTTCCAGTAATTACTCAAAATAAGGAATTTTCTTAGATCTATTTAGATAAAACTTAAGAAACTTATTTTTATGTAAATTTTACTACGGTCCGGATTTTCAATCGCTGGAAGGAGCATTCAAAAATTATTTATTTTTATTTTTCTCGTGTTCAGTACAGAAATACACATTGTTTGAGAAAAAATAGCCTCCGGGAAGTGCTTGTGAATATCAGGGTGAACAATTGTAATTTTATAGTAATACCATTATAATTTGATTTTTGGACAATAAACTTTTTTAAAAAAAGTGTTATATGGGTGTATGGTTAACTATAGACCGATATTTATGAAATAGGGATTTAAGTTCTTAAAAACTTTAATTTATAATGTTATTTTTAAATATGTTATGTACGCTAAAGTAATTTCCTGAAGGGGACCTTACATGGGGGTTAAGGTCAAATATGGCCCAATGTTTGTCACACCTCACAGTATTATTTTTGGGTGTAAAACGGTGGCGCTATGTGAAACAGTGGACCGACAGTTCTTCTAGCAATGTCGGAATAGAATTGGTATTTTTGAATCTAGTGCCATATTCCAGGTTTTCGACAAACATTGCTTTATCTTCGGTAATGTTAAATGTCCATCACCTCATGCATACAGATATCGATTAAACGTAGATTAAATAAAATAGAGTTCCAATTGAAAAGAAAACCTGTATAAGATGAATTAATTTAATGAATTAATTAATTGTTGAATTAATACTATTTTGAATTTTCTATAATATTGAACGTAGAAACGTAAAATTTACAACATATCGTTCATTTATGCATATGTGAAACTTATTTTGATTAGATCCAGAAAAATTTAAAAAAATTTAACTTAATTTTTTTCGAGGCAGTCTGAAATTTTTACTTCGTGAATCGATTTTTCTGATTTTCAAACTGCTTAGGACAATAACAAATATTTTTGATAAATTTGATTGAACGTAAGCGTGTTTTACACAGACAGATAGAGAGACATAGCTAAATCGACTCAGGATTCCACAAGAACCCAGAATATATATACTTTATTGGGTCCAAGATGAATATTTCTTGGTGTTACTCACGGAGTGACAAACTAGTAACCACTGATGGTGGTGGAGGATTAATAATGTCGTCAATTGCTAATGGATTTTTTAATTTTTACTCAACAGTCATAGTTATACCCTACACCACTTTAGTGGGGAGGGTATATTGGATTTGTGCTGATGTTTGTAACATACAAAAATATTCGTCCTAGACCCACCTTAAAGTATACCAATCGGCTTAGAATCGTTTTCTGAGTCGATTAAGCTATGTCCGTCCGTCCGTCCGTCTGGCTGGCTGGCTGGCTGTCCATGTAAACCTTGTGCGCAAGGTACAGGTCGCAATTTTCAAGATAATTGGATGAAATTTGGCACGCACGTTTTATTTGACCTAAAGACGAAGCCTATTGAAAATGGTTGAGATCGGTCCATTATTTCACCTAGCCCCCATAGAACTGAACCCCCCGAAAAGGGCTTCTGAGCTCATAATTATGTTAAATATACAGATATATCGATAAAATACGGCACAACTAAGTTTTATAGAAGTCTTGATGACCCTGCCAAATTTCATAAAGATCGGGCCACATTTGACCCTAGCTCCCATACAAAGTCCCCTTCAGAAAATTACTTGAATGTCCCAAATTAGCTTATAAACACAAATATCGCGATGAAATTCAGCACAATAAAATATTATGTCAATATAAATATATTCACAAAATTTTATCGGGCTTGGTCCATATTTGCCCCTAGCCCCCATATAAAGCCTTTTCAGAAAATTAGTTTTTCATCCATAAATTGCTTAAATGTATCGGAACAAGGGAATATTGAAGATAAATGCTTTATTATGAAAAATAAATCACATTTAATATTCATAACTGGTGTAGGGTATCATATGGTCGGCCACGCCCGACTATAATTTCTTACTTGTTTTCTATTGTATTAATAAATCAAAAATATTTTTGCTGATGAAATGCACCCATATTTCTCAAGTAAATTTTTTGTCATTGTAAAGCCTTCAGCTCCTTCTTTCTTAATCCGTTGAGAAACATAAAATCGGTTAGGATTAGACTAAGTTACTGACATACATATAAGTGCTTAAAGGTACGAAAACCGTATTACTCGTATTTCAATATTTTGGAGGTGTTTGACAGATTCTTGTTTTATTTTCAGAAAATAGTATCACTTCCCAGGTATTTAGTTTTGAGGCATATTGTAATCTTTAAAGGGAACATTATGGTACATTTTAGTCAATCAAATGGTACCTTCTTTAACAGAAACTAGCATACCCTGGGTGCTTCGCTACCCTAACTTAAATTAAATACATACAAAATTTAGTTTACTTTTATAGAAAATTAAAATTGATTAAACATTTTTTAATGTTTCAGTTTTATACGTTCAATATCACGTGATTAAATTCGCATTCAGTAAGAAGCTTGTATTTTTAGTTTCATTCATTTAGCTTCTACATTATAGAAAATTTCGAAAGTACTATTTGAAAAAAAGTACTATAAAATATCTCTAATAGATTATCATTTAATCAAAAATTGTGTGTTTCTGTGTTCAATATTATATACAATTCAAAAAATATAATGAATGAAAAGTACCAAAAGTCCCTTTCAGTAGATTCTCATTCACTAAGGTCCCTACATTTTAAATTTTATTTTCAATATTTATATTCAATATCGTAAAAATATAAAAAAGTACTATCGGAAAAACGAAAGAGTACAAAAATAATTCTCATATAATAAGGACCGTGTGTTCCGGTTAACCATTATAAAGAATCTAAAAGGTACCATTTTAAGAATAGAAAAGTGCCAAATAATTCCCACTTACAGAATATTATTCAGTCAAGACCATATATGTTAAAATTAATGTTCCTAGGTTGAATATTTTAGAAAATTAAAAAAGTACCATTTATGAGATAAAAAGTACTAAAAAGTTCTCGCTTAAAGAATCTTATTCAATGAGGACCGTGTTTAATAATCATGTGTTTTGAATTCATATTAAAGAATATACAAAGAGTATCATTTGAAGAAAGAAAAAGTACCAAAAGTGGAATAAAATTTACCTAAGTGGAAAGTACTAATAAAGAATACAATTTTTCCCTTTTCGCTTAGAAATATATTTTTTCGAGAATTAAGTTTACAAAATGTTCCGTATTTAAATCTATATATCACAGATAAAACTCAAACGATTCAAATCTGCATTCATTTGTTACAGAAAAATAGTGCTTTCAAAAAGTACCAAACAATTTACTCGTATTTGGTCCTATATAGGACTTAGTACTCGAATTCCAAAATAATATACCAACAGCTTATTTTGTATGAGTAAATAAACTACTTTTTAAAATTTTATAAAAATTGGCTCAATGAGTTTGAATAAAATTAAATTTCCCGTTTTTCCCTTTATGGTACTTTTTCCCCAGTGAAATAGCAAAAATTTTATTACAATAAATATTACAGAGTTAGTCCCTAATTTAATAGGTATAATTCAATAAACCGAAAAAGTTTTCTTAATGTGCTAAAAAAAAGTACCATAAATACGGTTTTATCCCTTTTACACCCAAAAAGGACAGAATTTTAAAAAAGTACGAAACAGGTGTCTCATAATTTTGGGAGATGTATACAAAATATTTATAAAAAAATTTATTATGTTAATTAGTTCAAAAGTTATAAGGGGCCAAAAAAGGTACCAAAATCACCTTTGTTACACATTTTTACCCCTTAAAAGTACGCATTTCAAAAAAGTACCAGACAACCATCTGCTCATTTTAAGAGTAGATACAGGTGCATTTAAAATTTTTCTTGTATCACTAATATTGTGTAAGATAATTAAGAAAACCTGTTTTACCCGTTTTTCCCCCTTTTAACCCGTAAATGTACAAATTGCCAAAAATGGATCTACGTAACCAAAAACACATCTACTGTCAAAATTTCATGATTCTAGGTTCAGCCGTTTGTGCTGTGCGATGATGAATCAGTCAGTCAGTAACGCTACTCTTTTATATATATAGATAAATGAGAGTCTAAAAGAGGAACTCTTATAGGGACAAAATTTACTTTATTCCAAAATATGTATGAGAGTGTTCACATGATATCCATTTATACTTTTCTAATCAAACATTTTGTTTAATTTAAGTTAGATTAGGATAGCGAACGAAGCATGTTAGTTTAGTGTAATAGAGTTTGATGAAGAAGAACGAACATCGAGTTTAAAACAAATTCACACGGATTTTTGATGAGAAATTCGATCGGAAATTTTTAGGTAAGGTTTTGGAAAAGTTGAACACTGCAGCTTGATGGAACCTAACCTAACATATATGTACATAAGTATGTATTAGATGTATAATCTTTTTAACTCACAAGAACAAGTTTTTGCTTAAATTTAAAATGCCACCAATTTAGTTGTAGGTTATGTTTTAAAAAATGAAACCGAAAACAAAATTCTATTATAACAAATACAATCAATAGGTTTTACAAACATAGTTTTTGTTTTTCTAAATAATAAACAAATAATATTAAATAATAATAAAAAATAATACTATAGACAATACAACACAATATTTGGTTCTTATGATATTTTTTTTTTTCTTTTTGCACTTGTGCCCAGTTAGAGAATATTTTTTTTTATTTTTTTTACGTTTACAACAGTTGAAAAAGTTCTTTTGTTTTTTTGTTATAAATATTTAAATTAAAAAAGTAATAATAATAATTGTTTTGAATGTTTCATTTTTTTTGTTTGTTTGCAATCTTTTGAAATTTTTGTTTTCCATATTAATGGAAACTTGTTTGTATAAAAATTAAATTAAACTACATTTGGTGCTATCGGCGTTCTACAGTGTAACCAGCAGCTGATGTTGCTGCTGCTGCTGCTGCAGACGATGATGATGAGGAGGATGCTGACAACAAGTGATGTTGAGGAGGCATTAATAGAGATGTGTCATAACTGATCTGAGGTCTCATTGTTGGTGATAGTGTTGTTGCAGTTGCTGCTGCATGCTGTGGATGTGAATATTGTTGATTGACAGCTGCTGCAGCAGCGGCATTGGTATAATAGAAATTTGTTGAATACTGTTGCAAGTTTTGAGGTAAAGCCAAATGGTAGGGATCTGTAAGAGAAGTAACAATTATTATATTTCACATTCAAAGAAAAAATAATAAATATGACACGATTTCATTAATATACTTTTAACCAATACATCACCTTTACAGCCAACATGAAAAGAAACAGAAAACAAACAAAAATATTTATTACAATTAATCATTGTTCATTTAAACAAATTTATTATATCAGTTTAATTTCAATTTCATTAAAGAATCGTATGTCTTTTATAAAAAGTATTATGTATTACTAGTAACCATTACTTTTTATCTGTGTTTAATTCTTTCGGACAGGTCTCTCTCTCTCTCCTTCTAATCGTTGTAGGCGAAACAAGTTTTTGGTTTTGGTTAGACTGTCGTCTAGAATGTTTTTTTTTATTGCAGCATTAAAAATGTCTTTAAGCAAACGTTAAGTGTCTTATTAAGCTTTAAATGGGGTATAAAGTTTCATTAAATAAATTATCAAACAAATTAACCATGAAATTTATGAGAATATTCAGCAAATAAGAATACAATTATGTTAAAGGTTGGGGGAATAGTAGATCTGTTATAAATTAAGTTATATTTAAAAAAATATTTGCCATTTTGACAAATGGAGGAAGTACTAAATAATATATGTTTCTTTCAAATTGGCTATGGAATTGTATTAATTGCTGTAAACAATTTATTATATTTTATTTAAAAAAAATACAACCAACAACTGTTGAAATTATTTATTAATATCGATTTAAATCGTAATATGTATCTTGTAATTTATATGTTGTTTTTCCCAAGTCAAATTATATATTTTTGGGAAACCAAAATAAGCAAATGAATATTTTTTATCCATGAAGAAGATAAAATAGACTCTAGTTAAGCCTATAATCTAGACTATATGGTCTAGTCTATAGTCTGGTCTATGGTCTAGTATATAGTCTGGTCTATGGTCTAGTCTATAGTCTAGTCTATAGTCTAGTCTATAGTCTAGTCTATAGTCTAGTCTATAGTCTAGTCTATAGTCTAGTCTATAGTCTAGTCTATAGTCTAGTCTATAGTCTAGTCTATAGTCTAGTCTATAGTCTAGTCTATAGTCTAGTCTATAGTCTAGTCTATAGTCTAGTCTATAGTCTAGTCTATAGTCTAGTCTATAGTCTAGTCTATAGTCTAGTCCTATAGTCTAGTCTATAGTCTAGTCTATAGTCTAGTCCTATAGTCTAGTCTATAGTCTAGTCATTAAGTCTAGTCTATAGTCTAGTCTATAGTCTAGTCTATAGTCTAGTCTATAGTCTAGTCTATAGTCTAGTCTATAGTCTAGTCTATAGTCTAGTCTATAGTCTAGTCTATAGTCTAGTCTATAGTCTAGTCTATAGTCTAGTCTATAGTCCAGTCTATAGTCTAGTCTATAGTCTAGTATATAGTCTAGTATATAGTCTAGTCTATAGTCTAGTATATTGTCTAGTATTTAGTCTAGTATATAGTCTAGTCTATAGTCTAGTCTATAGTCTAGTCTATAGTCTAGTTTATAGTCTAGTCTATAGTCTAGTCTGTAGTCTACTCTATAGTCTAGTCTATAGTCTAGTCTATAGTCTAGTCTATAGTCTAGTCTATAGTCTAGTCTATAGTCTAGTCTATAGTCTAGTCTATAGTCTAGTCTATAGTCTAGTCTATAGTCTAGTCTAGTCTATAGTCTAGTCTATAGTCTAGTCTAGTCTAGTCTATAGTCTAGTCTATAGTCTATAGTCTAGTTTAGTCTAGTCTAGTCTAGTTTAGTCTAGTCTATAGTCTAGTCTATAGTCTAGTCTAGTCTAGTCTAGTCTAGTCTAGTCTATAGTCTATAGTCTATAGTCTATAGTCTATAGTCTATAGTCTATAGTCTATAGTCTATAGTCTATAGTCTATAGTCTATAGTCTATAGTCTATAGTCTATAGTCTATAGTCTATAGTCTATAGTCTATAGTCTATAGTCTATAGCCTATAGTCTATAGTCTATAGCCTATAGTCTATAGTCTAGTCTAGTCTAGTCTAGTCTAGTCTAGTCTAGTCTAGTCTAGTCTATAGTCTATAGTCTATAGTCTATAGTCTATAGTCTATAGTCTATAGTCTATAGTCTATAGTCTATAGTCTATAGTCTATAGTCTATAGTCTAGTCTAGTCTAGTCTAGTCTAGTCTAGTCTAGTCTAGTCTATAGTCTATAGTCTATAGTCTATAGTCTATAGTCTATAGTCTATAGTCTATAGTCTATAGTCTATAGTCTATAGTCTATAGTCTATAGTCTAGTCTAGTCTATAGGTTATAGTCTATGGTCTATAGTCAAGTCTAGTCTAGTCTAGTCTAGTCTAGTCTAGTCTAGTCTAGTCTAGTCTAGTCTAGTCTAGTCTAGTCTAGTCTAGTCTAGTAGTCTAGTCTAGTCTAGTCTAGTCTAGTCTAGTCTAGTCTAGTCTAGTCTAGTCTAGTCTAGTCTAGTCTGTCTTGTCTTGTCTTGTCTAGTCCAGACTCTAGTTAAGCCTATAATCTAGACTATATGGTCTAGTCTATAGTCTGGTCTATGGTCTAGTATATAGTCTAGTCTATAGTCTAGTCTATAGTCTAGGCTATAGCCTAGTCTATAGTCTAGTCTATAGTCTAGTCTATAGTCTAGTCTATAGTCTAGTCTATAGTCTAGTCTATAGTCTAGTCTATAGTCTAGTCTATAGTCTAGTCTATAGTCTAGTCTATAGTCTAGTCTATAGTCTAGTCTATAGTCTAGTCTATAGTCTAGTCTATAGTCTAGTCTATATTCTAGTCTATAGTCCTAGTCTATAGTCTAGTCCTATAGTCTAGTCTATAGTCTAGTCCTATAGTCTAGTCTATAGTCTAGTCTATAGTCTAGTCTATAGTCTAGTCTATATGTCTAGTCTATAGTCTAGTCTATGTCATAGTCCTAGTCTATAGTCTAGTCTATAGTCTAGTCTATAGTCTAGTCTATAGTCTAGTCTATAGTCTAGTCTATAGTCTAGTCTATAGTTCTAGTCTATAGTCTAGTCTAGTTAGTCTAGTCTAGTCGTAGTCTAGTCTAGTCTAGTCTAGTCTAGTCTAGTCTAGTCCTAGTCTAGTCTAGTCTAGTCTAGTCTGTCTAGTCTAGTAGTCTAGTCTAGTCTAGTCTAGTCTAGTCTATAGTCTAGTCTAGTATAGTCTAGTCTAGTCTATAGTCTGTAGTCTGTAGTCTATAGTCTATAGTCTATAGTCTATAGTCTAGTCTATAGTCTATAGTCTATAGTCTATAGTCTATAGTCTAGTCTAGTCTAGTCTAGTCTAGTCTAGTCTATAGTCTACAGTCTATAGTCTATAGTCTAGTCTAGTCTAGTCTAGTCTAGTCTAGTCTATAGTCTATAGTCTAGTCTAGTCTAGTCTATAGTCTATGGTCTATAGTCAAGTCTAGTCTAGTATAGTCTTGTCTTGTCTTGTCTAGTCCAGTCTATAGTCTAAAGTCTATAGCCTATAGTCTATAGTCTAGCCTATAGTCTAGTCTAGTATAGTATAGTCTATAGTCTAGTCTATAGTCTAGTCTATAGTCTAGTCTATAGTCTAGTCTATAGTCTAGTCTATAGTCTAGTCTATAGTCTAGTCTATATTCTAGTCTATAATCTAGACTATAGACTAGATTATAGACTAGACTATAGACTAGTCTATAGTCTAGTCTAGACTAGTCTATAGTCTAGTCTAGACTAGTCTATAGTCTAGTCTAGACTAGTCTATAGTCTAGTCTATAGTCTAGTCTATAGTCTAGTCTATAGTCTAGTCTATAGTCTAGTCTAGTCTAGTCTAGTCTAGTCTAGTCTAGTCTATAGTCTAGTCAATAGCCTAATCAACAGCCCAGTCAATAGTCTATAGACTTTAGTCTAGTCAATAGTCTAGTCTATAGTCTAGTCTACAGTCTAGTCTATAGTCTAGTTAATAGCCCAGTCAATAGTCTATAGACTAGACTATTGCCTAGACTAGTCTATAGACTATTGACTGGGCTATTAACTAGACTATAGACTAGACTGTAGACTAGACTATAGACTAGACTATAGACTAGATTATAGACTAGGCGATGGACTAGATTATAGACTATTCATTAGCCCAGTCTATAGTCAAGTATACAGATTTTTTTTTTGCAAAAACTTAAATCTTACATTTTCTAGAGATTTTATGGTATGATTTAACGGGAAATGCTAAAAAAAATTGCAACACTGAACCCATTTCACAACTTTTTCATTGAATATATTCAAGACACAACTCATACCGCATATTCTTTCATTAGGGTGTATTATAGCTAGAAGCGCACACACTTTGCATCCTATTATTTTGATATCAATGAAATTCCAACATTTAGTCCCACTGTCAGTTCTCTAAACGATCCTGTTGCTTCTGCAAATAGTAAAGAATTTCTCCCGAAATATTAACTTCACCCTGCATAATTCTTTAACCAACATTATGTGGCTAGAATTTGGATTTCAACCACAGACTGTACAGAACGAATCCTCACAATATGAGAACGTTTCACCATGATATGAGAAAGTTTCACTATGATAACATGCACCGGGGGCTGTAATAAATGATAGATGTCAAAATGCTATATATGTAAGTGTTCTAATCTGGCAATATGTTAGTTATGTGACTACGTAAAATCATGGATAAATTTACACCTATTATTCTACCTTCGTCCTAAATAAGACAAATTATCCAGCTCAGTTTAATATTGCAAGCTGTACTTTGGCGACAATGCATTGTGAGTAAAGATTTCAATGTTTACTCAGAGCCGATTGGTACACCATATAATACCTTATTTACTACAGTGGGGTATATAATGTATTATTGCATAAAGTGCAAGAATTTTAATCAGTATCTAGCATCAAAGAACTAATTGGAGTTCCGTTCCTTCTTCGTGCTTTATATTCACAGTTCCATTCTATCTTATATCAATACTACTTACATATGTACATAATTATATTTCACTCATACTTTGTTCAATATGTATCCATTCATTAACCCTATTTAATTTACAGA